CCCAAAACCAGTCTCTCTTTTTTTTTTTTTTTTTTTTTGGTTCAGAGATGTTCTCATTCTGTTGCCCAGGCTGGAGTGTAGTGGCATGATCTCAGCTTACTGCAAACTCCACCTCCCAGGCTCACCCGATCCTCCCAGCTGGGACTATCGGCACACATCACCACACCCAGCTAATTTTTCTGTTTTTCGAAAAGACAGGGTTTCACTATGCTACCCAGGCTGGACTCAAGCTATCTACCCACCTCAGCCTCCCAAAGTGCTGAAATCACAGGCATGAGCCACCACGCCTGGCCATTAGTCTTTTTCTTAAAGATTTGCTCACAATTCCAATTCTTTGCACAATGCTGTACTAAGTGTAAGAGAAAGGTGTTTCCCCTCAGCTAGGACAGAAGGTAGGAATTTTCATCCAACTGCAATCTTTTTCTATGGCCACTATAACAAGTTATCATAAACTGAGTGGCATGAGACAACATAAATTTACTATCTTCCGTTCTGGAGGTTAGAAGTCGTAAAGTCAAAGTATCAGAGCCATGCTCCTTCCCGAGTCCCTGAGAGAGGAGGCCCTCTGCTGTCCTGCCAGCTCAGGAGGCCATCTGTGTTCCTTGGCACGTGGCCCTTCCTCCATCCCCAAATCTCTCCTGACCTCTGCTTTTATCACATCTCCATCTTGGACCCCTCTGTCTCCCTCTCATAAAGACCCCTGTGTCTATACTGGATCCACCTGAATAACTCAGGCTTATCTCCCCACATCAAGGTCTGTAATCACTTCTACAAAGTCCCCCTTGTCAAGGAAAGCAACATTCACAGTCTCTGGGGATTCGAATGTGGACCTCTTGGGCAAGAGGCATTATTCTTTCGACGGCAATAGCCAGAGCGATTTCTTTTACTTTTTTTTTTTCTCTAAGGTGGAGTCTCACTCTGTTGCCCAGGCTGGAGTCCAGTGGCATGATCTTGGTTCACTGCAACCTCCACCTCCTGGGTTCAAGCAATTCTCCTGCCTCAGCCTCCCAAGTAGCTGGGACTCCAGTCTCATGCCACATGCCCAGCTATTTTTTGTATTTTTAGTAGAGATGGGGTTTCACCATGTTGGCCAGGAGGGTATCAGTCTCTTGACCTCGTGATCCGCATGCCTCAGCCTCCCTGTGCTGGGATTACAGACGTGAGCCACTGCGCCTGGCCACTGGACCCATTTCTAAACCTTTCCCCTCTTCTCTTTGAAGAACCCCAACTCTTTTGTGGGTTTTTTGTTTGTTTGTTTGCTTGCTTGCTTGTTTGTTCTTTGAGACAGAGTCTTGCTGTGTCACCAAGGCTGGAGTGCAGTGGTGCAATCTAGGCTCACTGCAACCTCCACCCCCCAAGTTCAAGCGATTCTCCTATCTCAGCCTCTGGAGTAGCTGGGATTACAGGCACTCACCATCAAACTAGCTAATTTTGTATTTTTAGTAGAGGCAGGTTTCACCATATTAGCTAGGTAGTTTAAAACTCCTGACCTCAATTAATCCACCCAAACCGCTGGGATTACAGGTGTGAGCTGCTGTACCCAGCCAAACCCCCAAATATTATCATTACATAGAAACATGCTTTAATATCTCCCTCAGCTTTTGAAACTCTTTAGAAGGGCATGTCATTTTTATCGAATTAACCTTGTGACTAGAAACCGATGTTCTCAAACTTTGCCGTTCATTTGGATCACCTGGAGAGCTTTGAAAACTCCCAGGGCTTGGACCACATCCCAGACCAATCAAATCACAGTGTCTGGGGGTGAGAGTCAGGCATTAGCACTTTTTAAAATGTCTCCAGGAGTTCCGACATGCACAATTTCCAACATGCACAACCACTGCTATGATCAGCAGTATTTCCCAAATGAACCCTTCACTGATGGGCATGAGCAGGACAGGCCACATCATCTCAAAGCTGACCCCAGGGCATGGCTTGGCTCCAGCCTCCACTGCTTCCCCTCCAGGATCCCCTGCCCCAGAAGGCCACCATGCCATCAGACCTATTGTCCTTCTTTACAAAGCTCCAGCCCTGTCACGTCCTTTCTTCCATCTCTGCTGGCCATAGTCCTACACTATACTCCTTTCTTTGCAAACACCCTTCACACTGTTGTACGAGCCTCAAAAAACACCAACTCTCAGAGCTAAACACCACACCCCGGCCCGCACTAGCTGCCAGTGGCAACCAGAAGAGGCCCAGCTCTCTTGACATTTATGATCATGGATCCCAAATGCATCCCCAATTTAGCTAGTTCGTGCTGCCTCATTTCCTAATTAATTCTTTTTTTTTTTTTTTTATGAGACAGTCTCACTCCATCATTTAGGCTGGAGTGCAGTGGTGCAATCTCAGCTCACTGCAGCCTCAACCTCCTGGGTTCAAGCGATTCTCCTGCCTCAGCCTCCTGAGTAGCTGAGACTACAGATGGATGCCATCACATCTGGCTAATTTTTATATTTTTAGTAGAGATGGGGTTTTACCATGTTGGCCAGGCTGGTCTCGAACTCCTGGCTTCAAGTGATCTGCCTGCCTTGGCCTCCCAAAGCACTGGGATTACAAGTGTGAGCCATGGTGACCAGCCCCTACAGTTTTTTTTAAAAGCACAGGAAAAAAAAAAAATCACTTTCCCAATCTGCAAAATGGCTACTGTCCTCAATTCTCCCAAACTAATCCCTCTCAATGATGACCTCAAATCTCTTGACCTCCAAAAAGATAACAGATACCCTCAAGGAAGGCCTTAGTTTCCCCAACATGCTTGGGTCTAAACCCACACACTCTGCCTTCCCTTCTGTTGCAAGAGAAGAGGTGTGCTGCTTCCCTCCACACCCCACCCAATTCCCGGAGCCATCCCTGTTTGATCTTTCCACGCATCGTGTTCTTGCAATTCTTCCATTCTTCAACTGTTCTCTTTCTGAGAATATTATTATTACATAGAAACATGCTTTAATATCTCTCTGAGCTTTTGAAACTCTTTAAAAAGGAGTAAAGTTGTGCAATGTAAGTTCATTAACCATAATGGTTAAGTTAGAAAGCAATCACAAGATAGCTGAAAAATCCCCAAATAAGTCGGAAACTAAAAACTACACTTCCAGCCGGGTGTGGTGGCTCACTCACGCCTGTAATGTCAGTACTTTGGGAAGCTGAGGTGGGCAGATCACTTGAGGTCAGAACTTCAAGACCAGCCTGGCCAACATGGTGAAACCCCAGCTCTACTAAAAATACAAAAATTAGCCAGGCATGGTGTCTCGAGGCTGTAGTCCCCGCTATTTGGGAGGCTGAGGCAGGAGAATCGCTTGAACCTGGGAGGCAGAGGTTGCAGTGAACCAAGATCAAGATCACACCATTGCCGGGCGCGGTGGCTCAAGCCTGTAATCCCAGCACTTTGGGAGTCCGAGGCGGGTGGATCATGAGGTCAAGAGATTGAGACCATCCTGGTCAACATGGTGAAACCCCGTCTCTACTAAAAATACAAAACATTAGCTGGGCATGGTGGCGCGTGCCTGTAATCCCAGCTACTCGGGAGGCTGAGGCAGGAGAATTGCCTGAACCCAGGAGGCGGAGGTTGCAGTGAGCCGAGATCACGCCATTGCACTCCAGCCTGGGTAACAAGAGCGAAACTCCGTCTCAAAAAAAAAAAAAAAAAAAATAAAAGATCACACCATTACATTCCAGCCTAGGCAAGACAGCAAAACTCTGTCTCAAAAAAAATAAAATAAAATAAACACTTCTAAACACCTTTCGTCAAAGGAGAGATCATAGCTAGATGTGGTGGCATAACTGTATCCCCAGCTAGAGGGAGGTTGTGATGGGAGAACTGCTTGAGCCTGGCAGTAAAAGCTACAGTGAGCCATGATCATAGCCACTGCACTCCAGCCTGAGTGACATAGTGAGATTTTCTCTTAAAAAAAAAAAAAAAAGAAGGCCAGGCATGATGGCGCATGCCTATAATCCCAGCTACTCAGGAGGCTGATGCAGGAGAATCTCTTGAACCCAGAGGCGGGGGTTGCCAATGAGCTGATATCGCGCCATTGCACTCCAGCCTGGGCAACAAGAACAAAACATCGTCTCAAAAAAAAAAAAAAAAAAAAAAACACAGAAGAAGAAGAAGAGATCAAAAGGTGAATTAGAAAGTATTTTAGGCTGGGTGCTGTGTCTCGCATCTGTAATCCCAGCACTTTGGGAAACTGAGGCGGCCAGATCCTCTGAGGTCAGGAGTTCGAGACCAGCCTGACCAACATGGAGAAACCCCATCTCTACTAAAAATACAAAATTAGCTGGGCGTAGTGGCGCATGCCTGTAATTCCAGCTACTAAGGAGGCTGAGGCAGGAGAATTGCTTGAACCCGGTGGCGGAGATTGCAGTGAGAGTTCGTGACCAGCCTGGCCAACATGGTGAAACCCCACTTCTACTAAAAATACAAAAATTAACTGGGCATGGCCCCAGTTACTCAAAGAGGCTGAGGCACAAGAATCGCTTGAACCCAGGAGGTGGAGGCTGCAGTGACCTAGATCACACCACTGCACTCCAGCCTCAGTGACAGAGCAAGACTCTGTCTCAAAAAATGAAGATAAGAATAAAAATAAACTGAATTACATTGAAAATATATCAATGTGAGATGCCATTAAAGTCGTACTAAGGAGGAATTTATACCACTTACTGTTTGCATTAGATGTCTCAAATCAATGCAAGTCAATGATCTCAGCCTTTACAGTAAAAAATGAGAAAAAGAGCAAATAAAATCCAGTAAGCAGAAGAAAGGAAAGAAAGATCAGAACAGAAATTAATATATTCAGGAAAAGAGAGAGAATTGGTGTAACCAAAAGTTTGAGGAAAATTAAAACAATTCAAACCTCTAGCCAGACAGATCAGAAAAAAATATGGAAGACACAAACCAGTCTCAGAAATGACAGGTAGCATCATTACTAATATAAAAAAAACAAGGGCATATTATGAACAACTTCATGTTGATAGGACGAACGCCTCAGATGAAATATATTAAAATGTTGAGCTCTTTCTCGGTGACTGGGGCCTGCACTTAGGCACAGATGGGGCAAGTGGAGCCAACATGTCAGTGGCCAGGAGCTGGGTTTGTCGCAAAACTTATGTGACCCCACAGAGACCCTTCGAGAAATCTCGTCTCTACCAAGAGCTGAAGCTGATTGGCGAATATGGGCTCCAGAGCAAACGTGAGGTCTGGAGGGTCAAATTTACCATGGTCAAGATCCACAAGGCCGCCTGGGAGCTGCTGACCTTGACAAGAAGGACTCACAGCGTCTGCTCAAAGGCAACACCCTGCTGCAGCGGCTGGTTCACGCTGGGGTGCTGGATGAGGCCAAGATGAGGCTGGATTACGTTTTGGGCCAGAAGATGGATGATTTCTTAGATGCCCACAGACCAAGGTCTTTAAGCTGGGCTTGGCGAAGTCCATCCACCATGCTCGCGTGCTGATCTGCCAGCGCCATAGCAGGGTCTGCAAGCAGGTGGTGAACATCCAGTCCTTCATTGTCCACCTGGATTCCCAGAAGCACATCGACTTCTCCTTCAGCTCTCCCTATGGGGGTGGCCACCTGGGGCCAGGGTGGTGCTGGAGCCAGAGACGATGAGGAGGAGGATTAAGCCTACTTGTCCCCTCCTGGGCTGGTGGATTGTCTAGTTTTCTGGCCAAATGATAAAACAGGATCAATGCTTTATTTAAAAAAAAAAAATTTTTTTTTTTTTTTAAAACAGAAATTAAGGTTATTCATGAAGAACTAGGCCAGACACAGTGACACAAGCCAGCACTTTGAGAGGCTGAGGAGAGAGAATCAATTTAGCCCAGGAATTCAACCAGCCTGATTCAACCAGCCTGAGCAACACAGTGAGAACCCCATCTCTACACACACACACAAAAAAACTTAGCCAGGCATGACAGTGGCACACCTGTAGTCTCAGCTACCTGGGAGGCTAAAGGGGAGAATCACCTGAGCTCAGGAGATTGAGACTACAATGAGCCACAACTGCAGCACTGCACTCCAGCCTGGGTGACAGAAAAGGCCCTCTTTCAAGAAAAAAAAAAAAAAAAAGAACAAGAAGTATAACGCCTAAATAGCTCTGTATCCCTAAAACAGGGTTCCAAATGATCCTTAGAAGAAAAAGGAAAGAAATATTGGAGGAGGCGCAGTAGGAGATCACAGCGGGGGCCCACCTCCGGGACCTCAGGTAAGGCCTTGAGAGAGAAGGTGGAGTCAGAGAAACAGAGACACAGGCAGGTTAGCCAGCTCTGCATGGAAAAGGCTGAGGAGTCATGATGATATCATAGCTCTCCCCAAATCCCAAAGTCACTGATCAAACAACTCAATTTACACTGAAGATGATGGATGGGGCTCTAATTTTGTGCCCACAGCTTGACACACATTTGGGAATTTTGTTTCAGTTTAACTTTCTTTGCCAGTACACAGATCTCACTGTGAGAATATATGATCAATCCAGATCTCTATAGATCTATGTCCTCCTTGGACAAACCTAAATGCAGACACTTTCAGCACCCATAGGAGTTAGACCAGGATTAAATAAAAACATTCCCTCCCACTTGGGGGCACATCCACTGGGAATCCCAGAGCGATGTCACCTGCCCACAACTGCTAATGTGCTCACAGGGCATCTAATTCCCTCTCCTGAGTTCCTTTTAAGCAAGCAAGGGGATCTCTGTCCAGAGAAGCAGTTACTAAGTCTAAGCGAAGTCACTGCATCTTAGGAAAAAGCAAACATTCGCATCTTGCAGAGCAAGATGGGCGCGCACCCAAGAAAATTACTCAGCACTTGTTTTTCTCACTTTGGGATTTTCCCAAAATAATTTCTTCAGTCCAGCTGCCATGAATCTGGAGCCCCCGACTGACCCATCACGGTCGGATTTGGCTTCGGGGAAAACACACCTCGCAGATCACCCGGTGGCTCATTGCCCAGATCCAGAGGGTGCAGCGTGGGCACGGGGCGGGCCCGGGAGTCGAAACATTACGAAATCTTCAGCACAGACTGCCCCTCCTCGGAGGGGAGGGATCCAGACCGAGGGCCTTGTTCTTTAAGACTCGCAGCGCTACATCGCAGAACTTAGTCTGCGCGGCGGCTTTGACAGTGGCCAGGCTCCACGGGGGGCGCCCCAGGTGGTCCGAAGGCCGGTCCGCCCTCCACGCAGGTGTCCCGCGCGCCTGGCTCAGCCATGTCGTCCTGCAGCCGGGTGGCGGTGGTGACCGGGGCCAACAAGGGCATCGGCTTGGCCATCGCGCGCGAACTGTGCCGGCAGTTCTCGGGGGACGTGGTGCTCACGGCGCGGGACGTGGCGCGGGGCCAGGCGGCCGTGCAGCAGCTGCAGGCGGAGGGCCTGAGCCCGCGCTTCCATCAACTGGACATCGACGACCTGCAGAGCATCCGCGCCCTGCGCGACTTCCTGCGCAAGGAGTACGGAGGGCTCAATGTGCTGGTCAACAACGCGGGCATCGTCTTCTGGGGTAGGTGCAGGACTTGGGTGTGGGGGGCCCTGGAGCGCTCCGAGGGTGCGGGGCGGCCAGCCGCAGGCTCCCCACGGATCCACTTGAGTGACCGAGGAGGGCGCGCCGGCCCCTCGGGATGCGGTCAGCCCTCGCCTCCCGCGAGGCGGTTTTCGCTTTGCATAATCCGCTGAACCCCAGGCGGGGCCGGGCGACGGACACAGCGCGCCCCGCCTGCCAGCTTGTGCAAGCCTGTGCGCGGCCCCGGGCCTTTCCCGAACTGTCAGCCGCTGCTCTGTGCAGGAAAACTGGCCTCCTGGGAGCGGGCAACGCCCTGCTAGAGTTCATCAGCTTTCCTCCCAACGCGAGAAACATTTTCTCTTTAAAGAAAGGGTCTCCGCTCGCTTTGGGCTTTCGCTTTCCTTCAAAGGGCCCATTCATAGATGCCCGGAGGCATTTGCTGGAGAAAAGAAATGAATCGCTGAGACAAGATTAGCGCGGACTTGCACTTGGTGGACTTCACAGTTTGTTTAATGCAGAGCTTTGATAGACTCCGGCAAAAAGGAAGCGAGCCTTCATTCCCTCCTCCGGGGAGTTTGTTTGTTACAAAATATGTGCGTGTGGTCTTAAGAGCATCTTCCTTAAGGAGAGGGGCGGGGATCCGGAGATTACTTATTCTAAATACTTCTCAAGAAAGTTACCGGCCGGGCGTGGTGGCTCACGCCTGTAATCCTGGCACTTTGGGAAGCCGAGGCAGGAGAACCGCTTGAACTTGGGAGGCGGAGGTTGCAGTGAGCCGAGATTGCGCCACTGCACTCCAGCCTGGGCGACAGAGCTAGACTGTCTCAAAAAAAAAAGTTGCTACAGAGAGATAAACAAGCTAGCTTCCCTTCCAACCTAGTGGGGAAGAAACGCCTAAAAGGGAGTAAAATGAAGGATGGGGGAGCAGAAGTCTCTGTCCATCCCTTTGGCCCTGGGCACTCTGCGTGGCTGTGCATGAGGACCTGAGACTTTCTTTTACTCGCGCCTGCAATTCAGCCTGCCGGCTTTCTGGGAGCTGGGGTGCAGGACTGGAGGTTAACACTACCTAAAGCAGCCCTCAGCCATGGGCTGAGAGATTGGTGGCTAAATACCTGGCTTCCTGGACAACAGGTGGAGGGACTTCCCCTTGCCTCTCAAGGTGTGGGGAATGGACCAACAGCAACTGCTAACCTGCGCACACATGGCAAGGCAGAACCTCCCGCCTTGGGAAACATGGTGAAACCCCCTCTCTACTAAAAATACAAAAATTAGCTGGACGTGGTGGCTCTCCCCTGTAATGCCAGCTATGCAGGAGGCTGAAGCACAAGAATCCCTTGAACCCAGAAGGCAGAAATTGCAGTAAGCAGGGATCACACCCCTGCACTCCAGCCTGGGCAACAGAGCAAGACTCTGTCTCAAAAAACAAAAAACAAACAAAAAAACCCCTGCATTTCAACAGAATCCCCAGCTCCCTCCTTTAAGAAGTAGTAGTCAGAGCCAAGTATTATCAAGGTGTGGCTGGAGACCAGTAGCTGTCACATCACCTGGGAACTTAGAAATGCAAACTCAGGCCAGGTGTGGTGGCTCATGCCTGTAATCCCAGTACTTTGGAAGGCGGAGGTGGGTGGATCACTTGAGGTCAGGAATTCCAGAGCAGCCTGGCCAACATGGCAAAATGCCGTCTCTGCAAAAATTACAAAAATTAGTCAGGCATGGTGCCACGTACCTGTAATCTCAGGTACGTTGGGAGGCTGAGGCAAGAGAATCACTGGAACCCAGGAGATGGAGGTTGCAGTGAGCCAAGATCGAGTCACTGCACTCCAGCCTGGGCAACAGAGTGAGACTCCATCTCAAAACAAAAGAAAAAGAAACAGAAAAGAAAAGAACTGCAAATTCTGGAGCCCTCACCCCAGCCCTTTGCAATGAGGCCCAGGAAACTGTGTTTTAACAGGCTCTGCAAGTGATTCGGATGCACACTAAAGTTTGAGAATCATCGACCTCGGTTTTAAAAATGGTTTTAAAGTTAACTTGTTTTTCATTTAGTCATTAGGAGTTGGATCCACTTTGTCATGTGAGTTTCAAATGGGAAATACAACTTTCTTTTTCTTTCTCTGTTTGAAAGATAGTGATCCAACGCCCTTTGATGTTAAAGCTGAGTTGACACTGAAGACAAACTTTTTTGCCACTAGAAACATATGCAACGAGTTACTGCCAATAATGAAACCTCATGGTAAGTCCAGTGTGTGGATAGTCCGGTTGTATCTCTCAGTAAGAAGCGGGCCACAGGCTCCCAGGAGCAGGCTGCCCTGCAGAAATCACTCAGGGGTGCTATTTCTCTGAAGGGGAAAAATAGAAAATTGCTTCATTTTCCCATAGTGTTTGGCTTCTCACTCCAATGTTTTAAGTTTTGGGGGGTTTTTCTCAGGGGGTGGGGGGACAGGGTGGAAAGAAATTTTGCTCTTGTCGCCCAGGCTGTAGTACAATGGTGCAATCTTGGCTCACTGCAACCTCCGCCTCCCGGGTCCAGTTGATTCTCCTGCCTCAGCCTCCTGAATAGCTGGGATTACAGGCACCTGCCACCACACCTGGTTAATTTTTTATATTTTTAGTAGAGACATGGTTTCACCATGTTGGCTAGGCTTGTCTGGAACTCCTGACCTTCAGGTGATCCACCCACCTCGGCATCCCAAAGTGCCGGGATTACAGGTGTGAGCCACAGTGCCCAGCCTTAGCTTTAACTTTTAAAGATACCTATGACGTGTCACAATGCAGAATGCTCCGAGTCCCCAAAGGCCTCTTGCCTCTGGTCAATTTCAGGAGTCCTCCAGCCCTCCAACGTGATGGGCCCACATCTAGCTCCTCTCTGGACCTTGGTATCTATTCTAGCATCACGACTTTCCCTGTATTCCTTTCTTCTTGTACCAAACTTTCTGAAGTTGATTCAGAAAATCCAAAATAAATTTTCTTTTTCTTTTGCTTTTTTTTCTTTTTTTTGAGATGGAGTCTCTTTCATCCAGGCTGGAGTGCAGTGGCGTAATCTCAGCTCACTGCAGTCTCCGCCTCCTGGGTTCAAGCAATTCTCCTGCTTCCGCCTCCTAAGTAGCTGGGATTACCGGTGT